TAGTGATGTCATATTCAGCAGTTCATCAGTAAAGAAAGTTGGAGATTCAAAAGCACAATTTTTTTGGGAGGTAACCTTTTTATATTATCGTTGAAATATAGTATCCTCGTTTTATTTTCAAGAACTTTGAATGAAATATTCACAGGCATTCCCAGCAGGCTCGGGTCCTTTGGATCGTACAACTTATATGTTCACTTATGTAGAACCTCAGCCAGGATCCCCAAAATTGGAAGAAATATTAGAAGAATACTGGGATTTGATGCCAGAATATCAGGCTAGTCTTCTTTCTTTATTATGTTCTCTGGTGTCTCTTGGCTTATTCCATTTTGGTGGACATCTAATCCTCTCCATTTTTGTACTTACCTGCAGTTCTCTAATAAAATTTAGTTTTCCACAGAAAAAAAAAAAAAACTAACTTACAAATATAGTATGGCATATTATACTTGTGTTTTACCCTTGTGCTATATCACTGATCAATTTATCTATGTTGATTGGGCTGAGTACCAAATATCAAGTCATAAAATTATTTGTGTTTTACCCTTGTGCTATGTCACTGATCAATTTTAGTTATGTATGGCATATTAGCATTGCCTTTTATCTTGTTTTTTAAAAAGAGTTTTTAATGCAATCAGTTCTGTAGAGATTATTTTGATCCATAAAGTTAGCATTTACATTTTTCGAGTATTATTTTTCTTTTTCAAGTTGATTAGGCTACCAAACGTCTAAAGGTAGCCTTGATTCATTCTTTTATACTCATGTTCAGCTCTACTGCTATCTGCTTGACTGATGTCAAATTGGAATTTTTATGAGACAGGGTGTTTCACTTGACAATATAGAGATACTGAGAGTTATTTACGGCATCTTTCCCACATATCGTGAGAGGTACTAATTTATACTAGATGATTTACTTACAAATTACTTAAGTTCTTCATAGGTTTCCCATGCAGAGTTACAGTCTTATAACATATATAAAATTTGTTTTCTATTGCAGAAAATCCTGATTCTCTTAATATAGACGCATGAAAACAATTCAACCAATTGTTTCATTGAATATGTATATTTGAAGATGTTAATATTCTTACTTAAAAATATGTTATTCCTTTATTTCCTTTGGCTTTTTTAATTTAAGGTTCCTGTAAGAAATTGAACCACGTAATGGAATTTGAACCATGTTATTGTGCATGGTAACTTACTGCTGAAGCTACAAAATGAGTTTAACCAAGAAGTTGAACTTTAATCTCCTCATGCCTGTATCGTATTGTTTCATTTGGAAATTTTCCTATATTTCTTTAATTAACGTGACTGCCTGATTAGACTACTCCATTAAGTGGAAATAACTATAAACCATCCAAATTATTAGTGTTTCAGGAGATGTAGTATTGTACATCAGAAAATCATCTATTAACTTGTTCTTTTTCTCTAACATCTTTAATTTCCTAATCTTGTTTTAATTTTCTTTCATAATTTTTTAATTACATTTTGGCTTATCATTTCTTTGTAATATGACATCGTACAATGTTTGATGATCTGGAGCACCAAACAGCCCACTACCTGCTGCTTTTAGTAGAGTTTTACAGGTAAATTACATTTTACACTTCTGAAGTTTTGACCAAATTAAATCAACGATGATCAAACAATTAATATTAAAGCAATAAATCTTCATTCTCTGTAGTTTGGTGACGCTAGTGGCATACAATCACCTGTTTCATTTGGTGGTTTTGGGAGTTTGGCAAGGCACCTTCAGAGACTGTCAACTGGTATCCTGTTATGTGAAATTACAAACTTCTGGAGTATATTTTTGAACCAGTTCAGGGATATCTGTTACAATGTGTCAGGATTTATTTTTTTTGTTTTGTTTTTGGAATCTCTAAAAGTAACACTATAGATCTGTTAATTTTTCTGAGTTTTGGTGGAGCCCCCAAAATTGGAAAGTTGTTCTAACAAGTGATAACTAACAACAAACTGATGAAGGGCAGATAAAATAGAAACAATGTTGAGATCATCTGATTTTTTTCATTTTGCTATAATGAAGGAATACATGAAGCAATCATCGGTGATTATCTTGACTCATACAACTTGTCTCTTCTGAATCCATACATGGTACTTTTCTGATTTTCCAAAAGGTTTGACTGTTTCAGAAACTGTACATGAAGTTAAGTACCTGACCAAGATTTGTAATGATGCAGCCCAACTTGAGTGCTTCATGGTTGTTCCAAAGAGCAATGTCAGCAAAGCAACAGTCCAATGTTCCTGAAGATTTTATTAATGAACTTCTTTATACCAATTTTAATTGTATGCAGGTAGTTTATTTTCTTCATGACTTAGATTGTTTTTATACTCTTTCTTGTGGTTGCTTCTATGTTGTCTTTCACTTTTGCAGAGGCTTGGGGATCCAGTGCTTCGACCATTTCTACAGGTGGACTTCTTGTCCCAATCTGAAACTCTGGATATGGTTTTTTGGTTTGTGTGATGTTCTTCCCAAATGATACAATTAATTGAGGTGAGAACCAATATAAAATTTTAAGCCTGGATTTTGAGAAATCTTCTATTATTTATACAGGATGTTGTACAGTTTGGGTCACTTTCCAAGACATTGGGCCTGGTTATGTTAACAAAACCTCAAATACTCCCATCCATATTCAAACAGGTAATTCATGAGCTTAGCTAACAGTGACTTCTTGGTTCTTTTCTTCGTTTCAACATTGTGCAAATATGAATAAATATTTTAAAAGTGGAAACTTATAATGCACCATCCAATTCAATGTTTCTAGCTGATTAGTACATTTTGTTCAATACATCTCTTTCTTATCAAATGAATGAGTGCAGATCATATCACATAATTAGACAAACAAAGATTTAGCATCTTGTTGGAAGTAAATTAAAATATATGGCATTAGTAATTAATAATGCAACGGTTTCAAGATTTTAGAATTTTATCTTGTTCCAGGTTGGTGTTCCTGTACTTCTTGACTGGTCTAGACATTTTCTGATGCTTGGGTACTATACCTTTCTATCAACCTTTGCTGATCCTATTGTGAGGTGATAAACTTTCCAAGGTCTTTCCTAGTTCACTTGTTATTTTTGTTGTTTATTCAACAAGCACATAGGTACAAACCTTATACTCTACACACATGTTCCATGTTTTGCAAGGCCATTTTTAAATACATTACCATCCAAGACGAGTTTCCAGTGGAAGCGGCATCTCGAGGCTTGGAAATATGGAGCTGGTCTTGATTACAAGTTATAGTAACTACTTTTACATATGATTCAGACCAAACTACAAAGTGGCGATTATGAGGTTGTTAAAGAATTGTTTTTTTCCCTTCACATCAAATTCCATATATGGTTCTTCTCAAGATTTACACGTCATTCATTCATTAATTCTTGATCTTCAATGTAAACGGGGGGGTATTTATTTATTTTTACCACTTTCACTTCAAGTTAGCTGACATGAATGAACTATTAGTAAGACAGAGATATATCATTTGAATTGTCAAGAAGGTGTTCCAAAACAAAGCATGCAAGGAAGCACCAAATCAATTCACTAATATGTTAGGCTATGAAGTAGTAAACAACGTTATATCAATACTTTCTAATTTATCATTTGCATCAATTTTTTCCACCCCTTATTTTCTTGCAATAAATAGTATATTTATATAGGTTTCACAACTTAAATCCTTAGTGAGCTTAGTACGTGAACAAGATCAACTTAAAAAATAAGTTAATAAAATATGGGTTTCACAACTTTCTTCGAATGACAATGAAAAGTAGAGAGAAACATTTTTCTATTAATATGTCTAGCTTTTTGCACTATTTTTCCTCAATGAACAATATCGATGACAGCATTCCTTATAGCACTTTAGTGGTGGGATACAACGAAAGTTGCGTAGTTTATCATTATTATGTCTGTGAATCCAGTACTTTCTTATAGTGTCTAGTAGTGCTTGTAACTTCCTTCAAGAAAGTAATAATTCCTTCATCTTTTTTATTTGATCATTTTATAAGATAATATAAAAATATTGACAAAAAAAGAAGATAATATAAAAATTTAAAATATAATAAATTATTATCTTTAATTTTCTAACATGACATCAGCTATTATTTATTGTAGTAAATGTATAAAATATTTAAGAAATAGATGAAAATAAAGATATAGACATTAACAATAATTAATGTTAACCTTACTTTTTTTTTTAATCATGCTTTTGCTAAATTAATAATTTTGAGTGTAAAATTGATTCTATCAAATTTTACTAAGCATGTTAGTACACTTCAAGCACGGTATGCTGTAAACAGCATTCTACCTTGCCTACAACAAGCATGTCTTCCTCAACTTGAGATTCTCCTCAGTGAATCGCCCCAAAATATGTTTTACAAACTACATCACTCTTAACTCTTTAACCAAATACCCAATTATTTTTGTTATATAGAGAAATTCAGGATCATTCGTTTAACTTGATAAAAAAAAAAAAGACCATTTAAAAAATAAAAATAAAAAATGCAACAATGCTAAATTTCCTATCATCATTAAAATCACCTAAAGAACATTTCTTCCTTGTAGATATTGATCTCACATTGCCAAATGCCAACTCTGTTGCAACAAATTATGGTTTCCAGAACCTTAACAGTATGTCTAGTCTTCGTGAATGAAAAAAAGGAAAAATTAGATTATCAAAAACAATTTTCCACCATTTACTACTTCTAGTAAAAATTCTCCTCGCACCTACCCGATACCTGCATAATAGGTGCTCGTTAGATTAAACGAGTACCCACGAGTTTTTATAATTCCTTGTTAAAAATATAAAATTACAAAAAATATTATATAATAATAATAAATAAATAAATAAACTATCATCAACCAGACAGTAGAAGAGAAATTGAACCATTCATATAACACTAAAAGAATAATTAAAATATCACATTAATGTTAGAATTATGTTAACAAGGAATAATTTTATAATTTTATTTATAAATAAATACTTATAGACACGAGTATCTGACTACTCCAACTCACTCCATTTAATTAACATATACCAAAAAATTCATTTATTACATCATGAGGTACTCGTTTAAAAATCCGAACCCGACCCGAGTATTACCTTGGCATGCTGGTTTAACTTAATTATTGACATAACACACTACTTTGTATTATTTTTAATCTCCTGCATGCTCCAATATTTACAGCCACAATAACAGCCAGAGGCACACTCCATCCATTTTATCTATGTTTGGTTGTCCATGCCAATAAAGTAAAAAAGGAGAACAAATAAAACTATAAATCTCAATCTGTTGATTTTGCACCCCAAATTTTAGATAGCTCCTTTACAATAGTCTTCTGCTTAACATCTTCGCTTTCCATATGCCACCTTCTTGACATATTATCAGCCTACAAGCCCAAGTTTTGAGTTAGGCCTGTGAAGTGAAATATTCCGAAGTGTAAAGAAATACAATATAAAACTTGCCCATATTTTGAAGGGAACAAATTGCTCTTTGATATTCTCAAGCTGCGGCTCAACAAAGTCTTTTCCCTTAGTTTTGATGTCACTGATCTGTTACAACAACAAAAATTTCTGATAAATAAGTCAACAAACTGAAATGGACAATTTAGGTGGCAAAATAGAAATCTTTTAATACAACTGAAAAACCATAAAAAAGGCAAAAGCAGCAACAATACGTCATTCAACATGATGAATAATCAATGAAGAATGATGAAACGAAAATTGAGCGAGTTAGGTTTTTAAAAAGTTACTAATTTAAGAACGCATACATATGTGTCGAGAGGGAGACAAAAAGTTGCACATTAAACTCTAGGGTCAACATATAGCTAAAATTACTTACATTATCCACCTCTAACTTGGAGGCCACCATACCAAATACCAATGCAGCACCACCAAATACAATTGTAGTAGCAACAGCAAATGCCTTTCCAACTAAAAAATTGGAAATTAAAAATTTGCATTAGTAAACATAAGCATCACACACAAAGAATTTGTCAGAACCTGTTTTTCCGTCAAAATCATTATTAGTATAATAAAATAAAGTCAGAAACCAAAATCTGATGAAGTAAATAACCACCTGAACTTGATGTACAAGCAACTCAAGTAGAAAAAAGTGAGGTTATTTCATGGATTCAATATCGCAAAATGGTAGGATATCAATGTACTGTCTTCATAGCTATGGTGTATATAAACTAAAGCACACAACATTTCATGTACCAATAATGCAACTTCTCCTGGTGATAGTTATAGTGCTATAGCAAGCATTACTGCATGTTATTAATAACTATAACCCTTATATGTTTCTCTGTGAGTTCCTAAAGCACGAAGCACAGTTCTTCGGGTGCTGTTAACAACCACGCAACAGCATGCCCCACTGACGTTTTTCATACTCTTTAAGTCTAATTCTCATTCTGTCCAAAAACAGAAAATAATCCCTGTTTTCACTTTATTATTAACCCTATTACCACACGCTCAAGCCTAAACCGTTATATACCAGAAAAGTAACTTCTTCCCAAATAATATCCCATTATTGCTTTCACCATTTCTGTGATCTGATGTGAAGGAATATATGTAGGTTTGTCAAGTAGATACTGCATAAAAATATGTACACATTCGTCGGCCAGCAAAACAAATTCAAATTCTTTCCCAGATGTTGCATCAGAGATAACATTAACATCCACATTCACACCTTTTTTTAATCCACAATCGTTGAGAACTGCTTCTAGCATTTATCTTGTAAAATACAAGGGAAAAGCAAAAATGAAAGAATAAGAATCAACAACACAAAACCTAAACGAGAGCGTCTACCACGTGAGCAAGAGCAAGTTAATGAAAGGAGTGAAATGTACCATGTGCAAGCCCTTCAGCTGCAGCTTTTAACTTCTCGGGGTTAACATGATTATTATACCTATCTTGACGCAATTCATTAGCTGTTGAAGCTGAAACCGTGTTTGCTGCTTGAGGCAGTTCCCATCTGCAACCAAAACCATTATGTTTAAAGAACTGAACAGAAAAAAACACAATTCAAAATCAATCACAGTCACCTTCATTGCCCAATTAACAGTAACACCAAAACTTGGAATTAAAATTACAAAAAGAAAAGGTCAAAACTCAAATGCAAATGAAATTCAATTTACAAGGTGAAAAGAATTAAAGGGGTATTGAAATTAAAATTGAAATGGGAAATGATGAAGGAACCTTTTGGGGCCAAAGGTGACCTGGGGTAGGGTAAGGTAAGCACGAAGAGGGTTGATAGCGTCAGGGGATAGGGAAGAATGGGTTTTGGGATCGGAATGAAGAGCCCATTTGGATGCAGTGAAGGAAGAGGAGGTGGCTGTTTCGTTTCTGAACACTTTGCAAGGAAGGGAGTGCCTTAGAACCTCGGGAAGAACATCGGCATGGACATGTTCTTCTTCGTGCAGGTTAAGGTTGTTGTTGGTCTTAGAAAGAGGGTTTTTTTGGGCTAACTTTCCCACTGCTTGTTTGGATTCCTGGAAAAAATAGGCTGCTTCTTTCCCCGCTAACCTTCCCGCGAGAAAACTCATCTTCCGAATTACTCTGTTTTAGTTTAGTTCTTAATTCTTTAAATCTCACCACAGTTCGAGCATTGTAGTGAGTTGCCTCCATCATCATCACATTTATATGGGTTGGAAGCTATATATTTTATTTTATTTACAAAGCTGATTGCTGATTTGCCACAGCTACTGTTTTGGGCTTAATAGATTAAGTTTTCAGTTACCGTTTTACTTTTTTTTTTTTTCAATTTAAAATTTTAAAAATGATTTATTTATTTAATATATTTTTACTTTTTACAGCTTAAATAAAAAAATGTAACTAATTAAAATAGGGTCAAATTAAAAATTATATAATAATTTTATATAAACTATAACAGTAGTTGAATGTTTAAACTCTGTAAAATAACTTTAACTAACGGATAAAAAAGAGGAAATATGTTACAACTTAGTCTCCATTTTTTGCAAATGATTTTCTTAAATTACAAAATGTGTGTTTTATATATGAAATTGGACATAAATTAGGAGCGTGAAATTAAAATTAGACCCTCAAACATTAATTAAAAGATTTTAAAGTTTTTTCATATTTGAAAGTGTAATTCTAAAGTTTAATTCTATAAATTTTAAAATAATTAAAATTAAAATTTTATTTTTTAATTATAAATTTTAATTTTATTTCAAATCAAAATATTGAAACTAGTTCAAGTAAAATTGCAATTAAAATCACAAATTTGAATTATAATTTTGATTTCATGCGCCAAACTAATTTTAATATTGTTATGACATGTTTTATTTGATAAAACTAATTGAAAATTATGAGTTTATAACTATAATATTAGTTGAAAATTTATAATTATTTAATAAAAAATAATTAAATATATTAAATAATTAAAGGTATATATAAAATTATATTTATATAATGTTAAAAATAAATATTATTTATTTTATTGCATTATTTATTATTAACTGATAAATTAAATAACTAAATTGGAGGAGAGGAAGAACCCAAAATGGTAAAAGAAAAAAAAAGAGTAGTGTGATGAAAGAGTGAAGAAAATTTTTTTTTATTGAAGTTTATAAATTATTTAACAAATTAAGAATAAAAATAATGAATAAATTATTGATTACCAACTTTTAAAAGTTAAAAACTATTTCAAATAATTTTTTTACGAATTTCCCTTCAAAACTATAAATTCTCCTTTTTTTTATTCATTAAGCAACTTTACTATCTACTAACCAAGCTAGTAAGTCTTAAATAAGCTACAAATTAATCAGTGTAATTTAATAATTTTAAATTATTTTCTTAATTAAATATTATGTTCACTTTCTTTTGTTATCATTTTATACCTCAATGTTATAAGTTATTAATTTTTTTAATACTTCTAACTGCGAGGCACTAATAATAAGAACTGTGATAGAAATCACAATCACATATTTATGTGAGTGGCAAAATTAACATATAAATATGTAACAAATAATATGAAACATGATTAAAAGAAAAAAAAAACACACAAATATCAAATAACAAGTAAATAAATTTGTACGAATAACGATACACTAATATCTATTTTTCTTCAACGTAGTTTTTTCTTCAATTGAACGTCTCCAATTTATGAAAAGTAAAATAAAATTAGAGAAGCAAATGAGTTGGAGAATCAAATGGTTTGGGATATATGTGTTCACATTCTTTCAAGCCTTGATATATATGTTGAAGCACTTTTAAAGATAAAAACAAAGTGCTTAAAACCGATGCATATATAAAGTTTCACACAATTAAGAAATAACAGCCAAAGACAAAGGATATAAGATAACCAGGAAGAATATGTAAGTCAAATGATAAAGCTGAAAAACTAATGAATTATTAACATACACATGCAAAAATAAGTAAAACATGACGGCTATAGTTTTAATTAGAAAATTTGACTATAAGCAGACACAAAAGAGCACTAGAAAAGATTATCCCATTACTTGGGAAACAAGGATTATGCACATCTTTAATGCTTGGAGGAAAAGATAAAATTTTTGTTTGACATGGTTTAATTGCAAGTGGGAGATATATTTTGTGCAGTCTTGCTTCACTCTTGTATTCTATTGAGTCTCAGCATAGACAATAAGTTGCTTAATTTCTTCCAACAGAAATCTTAGGTTGGATTAGAGAAAGTTTATATCAAAGTATTTGAAAAACAAATAAGGACATAAAATAAATATCTTTTTTAAAAAATATTTTTAGCCTTACAAAGGTGATTTTAAGAATGTACAAATAATCAAGTTTTTAAAAATTTTATGAAAGACAATTTATTTTTAGATAGTTATTATTACAAAAAGTAGTTCTTAAAAGAAAATTATAATTATATATTTTTCAGAAGCTGTTCATAACAGTTGCTGAGACTGATTTAAAATCTATTTTTCTAATACTGATTTTTTAAAAACTTAAATAAACATAGAAAAATTTTATAACTAATTAAATTAAAATATAAGTATTAGTTTAGGAAAAAAAACTGAAATAAATGAAGTTTTAATTAAATAATCACTTTCTTTTCTTTGAAAAAAATCTTATACAAAGTTATAAAAATAAATAATTATTTTCCCAAAACAAACTGAACTAAACATACGCTAAAATGGCTAAATCTTGTTGTAGTGTTGAGGCTACTGCTTATCATTGTTAACTTTTGTACAAATTTTGATTTTCTTTACTTGTGGATGTGTATAAATTAATTTTTTAATATTATAGAATTTTAAGTAAAGATTTTAATAGATTCTGTGAGATTTTGTAGACTTTATAGAATTTTGTATATTTTTTACTTAAAGAGTTCAAGATTTTTTTTATACATTCAAATTTAAAAAGAGTCAAAGAAAAAAATAATAAAAAATAATAATATTTAGATAAATAATAATAATAATTTTTCGTAATCATCATGTCCTACTAAATAGCATTCACCCATATATCTATAGCTATACTAGTCCTCTAAGCATTAGTGTCTTCTTGTTCTTGCTTCTGGGTTTGAATAATAGGCTCAAAATTATAATTTTTATTAACCGGTAATGTTAAATATGAAGGTTCATCTATTTGTTTAACTGAAAATTCATCAGAACAATATTCTTTGCGAAGAAAGTTATGTAGTGTTGCACATGCTAACACAAGTTCTATTTGTGTCTTAAATAAAAATGGAGATGTTGACTTAAAAATTATGAACCTTAATTTAAAAATATCAAATATAATTAAAAATAATAATATAGTCCTGTAAAAGATTTAACTGCTATATATATACAAGGTATACATTATTATTTCTATATTTTAGATATATAAACATCCATTTATTCAATTAAAAAAATGTTATACGATATAAACAAATATCCCAAACTCAATAGTTAAAGGTGATAGTTAACTATTTGAAGATCTACAGTTAATTTAGAGATCAATTTTAACTTTTACCTTTCCCTTTTCTTGACGTGTGTTATAAAAAAATTACTACTTAAAAGTTAAAATTTCAAACGTTTTCTGTGTTATATATCTAAAGAATAAACTCAACTAAATAGAGCAAAATAAAGCAAGTCAATAATACTGTCATTTATGTTTTAACCAAATAGGAGAATGGAATGGGAAAAATAGTATAATATTATATATGAGCAGTAGTGTGATGAGTCACTAACTCATCTAGAAAATTAAAAGTTTTTTTGTATATTTCATTGAATTTAAATTATAAGTTAATGTAATTGATTAGAAAATTCAATGGAATGTTGTAATTGCTGAAAAATTGATGAATCATGCATATTTTGATGTTGGGATTTAAATTTTGAAGGGATTAGAAGAAAAAAAAAAGGCAATTAGAATTGAAGAGAAGAATTGAATCACTGCAGAACACATTGTGGGAGTATGAACTTCTGATTGTGGGGACACGATGCTGACACAACATATAAAAGCAAAATTATCTGTTAAAGCAAGCATCTTTCATCTTTCATTTTTATTACATTCTAGAAGCGTAAAAATTTAGGTTTTTGTACTAATAAGTTCATATTTTGATATATTTTATGACTTATATTTATATACTTAAACTCCAATTTATATATATTTACACTAATTATGTTATTAATTACTGCAGTTTAGCTAGAAGTTGTTATTAATGCATTATAGAGATATTATAAATAAAAATTAAATATTTTTAGTCCTTGGCAGTGCTATGTGAAGTTGGATTTGAATTTTGAATTTAAAATTTAAACTTAGATATGAAGATTTAGAGCGATTCTGATTTTAGATAAAACCAATTTAAAAAGATAAAGCTTAATCAACTGGAAACTCAGGTTATAGCCTGTATAAAAAGGCCTTATGCTCCACACTTGATGCACTTCCACTTCTTTACATACCTTCTTCCCTTTCTTAGTTCTAACTAAACTCATCTTTGAGAATCATTAGAGACCATTGGCAAGTTCAATAAGCTTTCCTTTGAAGTCCAAGCAAGTGATTGAGCGCTCCTTCGGAGAACAAGAACTCTCTTAATCTTTTACCTTTTTGAGTTTCTTTTATTTGAGTTTTCATTTGTGATTATAGATTTATTTATCACGTTCTTCGTAGTTTATTTTGTTATGAGTAACTAAACCCATAGCTAGGGTTATGACGGATCCTACTGCAAACTTTTTATGATTTTTACTTTAATGTTGATATTGATTTTCCTTTAATGTTTAGTTTTTATTCTATTGGATTATATTGTATATGTTAAGATTTGATCACCCTTATCACTCCATATTTAGTTGCATTGTAGGCAATCGTACCACGTGTAATTAACGGAACTATAGGATAAAACGATATAAGGAATTAGGTTAATTACACTTAATTCCTTCCTTTTAGCCGTTATTGAATTAACAAACTCATAGGATCTTCATGCTTTTTTGACTAATTACCTTGCATGATCACTAGGAATGTTTACTCAGAGAAAAGAATATTGACATTGCATAATCATTGAGTGTTAAAAGAACTAATTATGAGTGGTTGATAAATATTTGGATAAGGGATTGTGTATTTTAGAAAATCTGATCATTAGATGAAGCTGTATTTTGAGTTATACATATATTTTTATGTAAAAGGAAAATGATAAGGGATTTCAAACTCACCCAAAT